CTGTATAGTTCTGACAATTATAAGCCACGTTTTCCATTCATGAATTAATGCAATATCGTTTATTATTTATAAATTCTGAAGTAATTAACTAAAAATGTATTATTCTGTATTGTATTGATAATGTCCTGGCTATGTACTATATTAGTATTTATAAACCAATTCATATTATAATCTTGCATTCTACTAGTATAATCATATTGTGGTGTGGGCTACTGATGTCGACAGATATAAGTAGTATACATCAACAATCGAATGTGAAATGTCTGGCGGTAGAAAGTTAAGAAGATCAAAAGAAAAAGAACGAGAACAAAAAATGATTCATATGAAAAAGAACGAACAATGAAGTCTGAGACAATTGATTGACATTATACAAATGAATTATTTACTGTATGTTTTTCAGAATTTGGTTAGAGATTCTGTAATTTTGCATTGAAGTACATTTGGTTGTACCTGCTTATGTTCTTCTTCACTACAACATGTGTTATGTTTAAATAATAAAAAAATATTTATGACCACTCATTTGACTCTCTGATGTTTTTTAGTTAGTATTTCGAAATGTTAAATCTGTGGTTATTTATTCTAAGGTTATCAACATCCAACGTGAGTTACTCATATTTACTGACGCCTGTAACCTCTCATGGAAGAGCATAGGTCGCTCACCAGTATTCTCCATCCAACTCAGTCTTGGGCAATCCTTTCCAGTCCTTTCTATTTGTTATTCACCCTATTCATGTCAGCTTCCAATTCTCGACTCAATGTGTTCTTCGACCTTCCTCTTTTCCGTTTCCCTTCAAGATTTAAAGTTAGCGCTTGCCTCGTGATGCAGTTTGATAGTTTCATCAATGTGTGTCCTATCTACTTCCAGCGTTTTTTCCGAATTTCCTCCTTAGTTGGAAACTGGTTTGTTCTCGCCCATAGTAGGCTGTTGCTGATGGTATCCGATCAACAGCGTAAACAATTGTTTAGAAATACTTGTACCTTTTTTATTATGGTTATGGAAATTCTATGAGTTACTTACTTCAGGAACAATCATTATATTTTATAAAAAATAATTAAGTGGTATATTTTTAAGCGTTTATTGTATTTTACTTATTGTAATAAGAGGTTTAAAAGATAAATAATTTAAACTAACTTGATGGTTTTTCCTTAACTCATATAAACCCTACATATAACTCATTTTTCACTTTATTAATGTCTATTATAATTTTTAAAATGAATCCCAAACTCTAGTCTACATTCATAAAACATATACTACTATTATTATTTACCCGGGTAGAGATGCTGTATTATTCAACGGTATACCTTATCCTAAAGTGATATTACCTGAAAAACGAATATAAACAAATTAAGTGTTATTTAGAATTCCTAGTCTATAATAAGTTTAATATTTCTTAATTTTTTAATGATACTCCAATGACAATACCATAATGGAAGTGATCATCATACATCCAGCCAATCATTTTACATTGGATTTTAAAATAATATGGAAAAATCAAATAAACATGATAAATTAGTTAGTATGATGACTACATTAAAATATTAAATAGATCACCGGGCGAAAAGGCCGTCCAGTGCTTCCAGATTTTTCACGGTGGTCTAGCTTCAATTGACTCATGATCTCAACTATTGAAATTACTAAAATCTCCACGAAGCCCCTTTAGATCTATTATTCTTAATAAGGCGAGTCTGTAATTCATAGATGAACCAATCAGATACAAGATAAAGAGTTATGTATTTTGGTGTGAAATCCATTCATACATTTGGTTAATTAGAGTTTCAGCATTGTAGCTGATATCAGTTGGTTATGAAAACTCTAACTCTAATCATCAACCGTAAATCATAATCCTAACTGGTTTATAACCCTTATTTAATTATAATCAGTAGATATCTATTCTCAAGGTCATTTCAGCGTTACTCAAAGGTTGTCCATAAATTATAATCTCACCGTTAATAATATTTTAATTCTAATATACTCTACTAGTTAAAAGTTGATTAATTTAACTCTATCAGTGAGTAAATATTGATTTTTAAAAGAATAAAATTATATTCAGATGGGTTTTGTGGATATTATAGAAATTTCAATGGTTGAAGCTAGACCACGATGGAAAACCTGGAAGCACTTAAACATTGAAATTACTATAATATCCACAAAACCCATCTGATATTAATCAACATATGCTCACCAGTGACTGGCTTCAAAATGTAAATCCTGGAGTTCTAGTGAGAAGTAGTGACCAGTGGAGTTCAACTAGGTCTGTTGTGAGATAGTAACTCACTGAAGACAATAGTGGATGTGTCACTCAATTTCGTGGATTAGTTGAACTTAGACATTAATACCATTGAATGACAGCTCACTGGCCTAGTGGTTAAGTGCTCGCGCGCGAAACCAGTTGGTCCTGGGTTCGAATCTCGCAGGGGGCGAGGTCCTGGATGCGCACTGCTGAGGAGTCCCACAATAAGACGAAACGGCCTTCCAGTGCCTCCAGTTTTTCCATGGTGGTTTAACATCAATCGATTCATGATCTCAATCGAGAACATAATAATCTCCACAACCCCTTTACTGGTAAGATAAATTTATTAGGGTAATATTTCAATTTTGATATATTCTTTAGGATAGTAATTTCGATTACTGCAAATAAATTTTTTTGATTAAAATCATGAACTGATTAATGTTAGACAACCATTAAAAACCTGGAAGCATTGATATTGGTTTAACATCAGTCAGTTCATGACCTCAATCAAACATTTAATAATTTTCACAATCCTATACTGATACAAATAAATTGTTGAATCCAACAACTTTTAGATTAGTCTTTCTGTAACTATAATTCTTATAAGCAATAATAGTATTCTCACTGAATAGGAATTTTAATAGTCATATTAAAAGAGATCAAGTGATTACTAACATCTATTTAAATGACTTATAACTTATCATCAAAAATTATATTATATCACAATTGATTGATCACTGGGTGGTGATCAATTTCATGTGTATCAAGTTCTTTTTAGTACAGATCGAATGCTATCGACCAAGTTGGTCACTAGTTTAAATGATTCGATATTGCGTACACTAGGGGAAAGAGATAATGACTTAATTATACATATTTTTGAAAAAACTTTCATATTTCTAGTCTTTTATGAGTAGTTCATTATCAAGTGGATACTTTTAAAGAAATATTCCATAGATTGTTTCACTCCATTTCAATCTGTTTTTTTCTTTTTTCAAAAATGATTCTATGCTATATAGTCTATTATTATATATTAGTGTAAGTATACATTTTGGTTCCGTTTAAAAAAAACAATACCTATGATCTTGAATGACAATGAGATGTTTACCAGGTGAAATATCATTTTTAGTGAACGAAACAATTACAAAACATTTTAAATATTTATCATCACTTTAACAATAAAACAAATGAAATAACATATACAATGAATATTCTTTTAAGAAATTTAAAGTAATTAATCCTTTTGATAAATGTCGATAGTGTAATATGAAGACAAAGGTGATCAGTATTATGTGGTGATTATATAAGCGCAATACATTTTGAACAATCTGATCACATATAATATACCCGTTAAGGACATTTATATATAAAAAGAAATGGTCAACTAGACTAGAAATGAAGGATAAGAGAATACAAGGATAATAAAGAAAATAATGTGAAGACAATTTTAGACTTTACCACTCTGGATAATAAACTAATATTATCAGGGTAGATTCAAGTATATATATATGATCAGATTAGTCGAAATGTATTACGCTAATACATCACATAGTTTCGATGGTCTTTATTTTCTTATTACATATAACATTTAACCAAACATTGAATCCGTAAAATATTCAAGTATTTATTTTAAAAGAAGATTCTGTATATTATTTTGAATTCATTACCATGGTTACTAAATTAATAGTTAAATGAATATATAAATTCAAGTTAATCGAACTAATCTTTATGGAATAGCTATTACAATATTTTAATGATTACGCAATACAATGTTAATGATCAATGATCAATTGCATCGATTTTACATGAACTTTTATTTCCAATCATTGTAAATTTAACCTAATATAGCAGTTATAATTAGTTATATATCTAAACCGATTATATATTCTATAGAAAATAATATTAAAAATATAAATTATCGAATATTTCTTGTTTCGTTCTAGTATGAGACTCCTCAGCAATGTACGTCCACGATCCCACTCACTGGATTCGAGTTCAACACATTTAGTATCGCTCGTGAACACTTAACCTTTAGAAAACTGAGTCAGTATCCAACGGTGTTAATGTCTAACTCTAACCAATCGGCGAAAATGAGCCACCGTCCATCATTATCTTCAGTGGGTAACTGCCCCTACAGCAGACCTAGTTGAACTCCACTGATCACAGCCTCTCATTAGAACTTTGGGAAACTTATGTTGAAGCTAGTCACTAGTGAACACATGATGAGGTTTAGTGAAGACTGTGGTGATTTCTGAGATACATGAAGTAATGATAACAACAGCGAATTAATATATGATTAAGTTGAAAGTAATTCAAAAGGTGAAAGTGTCCTGCTTTTTTTAGTTACAATTAACATACATAAGTTTTGAGTTTCCTTTCGTCTTTTTTTCTTAATGAATGATAAGACATAGAATTCATTGAAATAAGATCAGATTACAACTAGACCTTACGAAGTGACTGACTGTAAACTTATGTTTATATTAGGGACTGAATTTGAAGATTTCTATTAGAACATATACTTAGTCAACAGCTATCTTGACTCAGTAGTAAATAACGGATAGTAGGTTAGAGAATATCAACATTGGGATGCTAGAACATACATTTGATGAGTTCCAAATGTTAATAAATGAATGTTCTAGATTCTAAGACTAGCCATATTTTAAAAAATAAACTTATTTGAATCCTAAGTTCAAGCTGCCATCAAACATATATTTCAGCTTTATAAGATTGTGTTTCCAACCACTGACTTAAACAATCTGACAAACAGCTTACCTCCGTTGTTCTTTTTCCGATTATCGATATCTTTAGTTAATTCATCTTTTAATTTGGATTTCGTATTGTTAGTTGTATTTCGCTCTCTTTGGTTCGTAACATGTCCACCATCTAGATCATCGTTGTCATCATTATCATCATCATTTTCGCAATCGGATAAGTCAGTCGAGTGATTATGTTTTAAATTCACATCACCATCTTCTTCCTCTTCTATTTCCTCCTCCTCCTCCTCATCATCATCATCATCGATATCATCGTCGTTACCAATATTTTGACCATTTAGTTCACGACTGTCACTGGTGCTTTTCATTAACATTTTATGAAATGGCATATTCATAGTATTATATAACAACATAGATGACGATATTGTAGGATTATTCTCATGAGTACACGTTTTCATTGTATTTGATTCATGTTTACTAATGAAATCATTTGAAATACATTTTGACGTTACTACTGACGACAATGATACTCCTGGTTCTGTGGTAGTAAGTGTCGTTGTCACCGACGTCGTTGTAAATGTAGTCATTGTTGGTAACACTGAATTTGTTGGCACAGAATTCAAATAGGTAAAGTTTACCGAACCTAAAACTGTTGAACAACCATTGACTTGATGATTTCGTTCATTATTATTACATTGACTAGTGGTATTTATACAAGATGACTGAATTGAATGAAGTGATTCATAACTGTTTAATTCAGTATCATAATTTATTGTTTCATTTGATAGAGTTGGACATGCTTCACTAGACGACTCTTCAGGACTGCTAATGTTATGAAGATGATGATAGGGACGTGAGTCAATATCTGGCATATAATTTGATATTTTGCTATTATTATTATCATTATTATTGAATGTTGAATGTTGCTGATCCTGACAATGATGATGATGGATATTATGATGATAATCAATATTTAAAGAATTATTTAAATAAGATGTCATTAAAGGTTGAATAGGATATGATTCATGAATTGTAGGAAATGTATTATTACTATCATTCCCCAATTGTTTATTAAGTAAATTAGATGTTGTAGACCATAAATTAGTAGACAGTATTTTAGAATCAGTTAATGTACAGTCATAGGACGATGGTGATGATGATGATGATGGAGGTGGCGATGATGATGATGATGATGATGATGATGATGATGATGATGACGATAATGAAGATGATATTGATAATGGTAGATTATTGGGTTTTATTGAATGATCATTTATAATACATGATGATGATATGATATGATTAGGCGGTGGCAGAAAACATTTAGTATTTACATCTGTAGCAGTCCCATTTACATTTGTACCATAACAATCAATATTATTACCTGTTAAGGATAATTTTTGATTTGTTCTAGAATCTGAATACAATTTTAATAATGTATTCTTATTATTAATGTCTGTAGATGTTATACAATTAAGGTTAGGATTTGTTGTTGCTGTTGTTGTGCTAATCTGTACATCAGTAGTAATTGTTTTATCAATTTTAGTACTGAGATTAATAGAAACTATACCATTAACATAATTATCACTTGTTGTAGGTGATCTAGGAGTGGATGTCACTAACCATTGATCATTTCCTGACAAATTCAATAACGTTTGTGGAGAATGTTTACTCCAATTCTCAGTGGATAATTCATTTGTTAGATGATTATTACCAGTTAATGAATTATCATAATGAGATGATGTAATCACATTCGATTGTTTACTAAGATTAATCTGTCTTAAATTTGAATTATTTAAATGATTATCATCAGATTCATGAATATTATAACATTTAACATTATTTGTCGATGTAATTGTTGTATTAGCAGTAGTAGTTGTACCAGTTAATTTTAATAATGTCAAATGTGTTGTTCCAGAAGAACAAGAATTATTCAAATAATCCTGTTGATTACGATGATGATGTTCTATTTGATGAAGATGATGATAAGGATTATTATGTCGAGGATTATTTGGAAGTACCTGAAAAATAGATTGTGTTCCATACTTCATTGATATATCATTAAAATCATGATGATAATGATTTGTATAATTATTATTATTATTATGATTATTTGAATTGAATGTTGTCATTGGGGCTACTGAATCATTGATCTGATCAACTTTAAATTGAAATGTTTTATAATCGGAATCAACATAAGAGTATAATAAAGCTGGTGTTCTTGAAAAATAGTCTCCAGACATGTTAAAAATATTATTAACAATAAGGATATGATTATTATTATTATTATATTATTAGTCAATAACCAGTACTATTACTACTACAGGGATTATTCCATATCTGATAATTATACTGCAATGAAATTAATTAATTTTCCTGAAGAAAGAAAAAACTTTTCTATAGTGTTTGAATAATTTCAACTACTTCTGTATTCCTTGTTAAATCATAGAATGTGTGTGCAGATTATGATATGTTTAGCTGTAATTACAACTTATTATTACTATTAAAAATAGTAGTCATTAAAAATAAGCACACATAATCCATATATGTGCATTCAGTCACAATTCCCCTATGTATATATATATATATATATATATATATAATAATTCGTAACCAACAGAACAAAATATAGAAGGGGTAAGAAAAGTGTAAACTATTCATAAGAATATTGATGTGATGATTTGTTTAAATCTAATACCTTAGAATTTGTGCAATATTCAATAATTTTGATTGGAATATTCATGATGTTCTTATTTAATAACCAATTAAAATTATTTAAAGGGAACACAAAATTCACAAATTGATTTAATTGGACAGTTAATATTATTATTAATCGTGTATATTTTGTTGTTCAACTCTCATATTAAATACAGTATTGTATGTGCAATGTTATTATATTTCTACCAAAGTACATTTACAGTGCTAATAGAACCTTATTTGATGCCATACAATTAAATATTAGCCAGTTATTAGACAGTATCTAGTGTATTATAATTAATCAAAAAAGTTTGTACATTATACATTGAAGTAAATTAATATAAACACATTGCTTAAAAACTGTGAACGATATTATGTCTATTATATATATTTATATATATATATATATATATATATATATATATATATATATATATATATATTAGGGATAAGGTTCGTGCGCTGAATAATTGGAGCCCATTTTTCCCAAAAAAATTAAATACAGTTTTTTTTCCCATGTACTAAAGCATTACTAACCAATTTTATCATTAGTTATTATTTTGTACTTAAACTTTGTGTATTTATGAACTGAATCATATGAAATAAGGAAATAAACAGTTTTATGAACATTTAAAATTATGAACCAATATTTTAGATCATAGTTATACTGTAAATAAAAAAAAAAATTTACAAGATCAACTTCTACTAAAAAAAATAGATTGTTAGACCAATGGAACAATTAGAAGTTGACTGGAATATTTCTCATATGATTTATGGGAATAAATTTGATGAAAACAACGATTACATTATGTTAATTAATCGTTGAGTAGTAACCAATATGTTATTCATTCTATGACTCAAATTATAATACGTTTGTTAGTCACTCAACATGACATGAACTATTTTATATTAAGCGGTTGAAAATAGTCAGCAGGAAATGCTGAATATATGTTTTGCGCTTGATGATATTCATCAGTAGAGCAGGAAAATCTGAATACTTGAAGGAAATGATGATGGTGGATTCTAACTTAATTTCCAATAAATGTAAGAATCTCAGTTCAATCGGAGGTCAATCGAAGTTCTCATAACTGATTTTCAGTGGTATCCCAAGCAATTCGATCCTTGAATAATACCACTTATAGATTAATCTAGTTTCAACGAAACCCAGACACTAATATTCAGTTAAGCTTAGTTACGGAAATCAATACATGACTTTTCGTCTTATTTATTTAATAATTATCATCCCTATTGGAATTCATTTGAGTATATTGGTAGTCATAGTCACAAACGAATTTAGTATATTGTAAAATAAAAGTACTAAGACATTTTTGGGTTCAGTCAGATAGTTTACTGAAGATCTTGTCCAATAAACAAAACTTTCATCATAAATTAGTATCACACCAAAGAACTACTGAAGACCCAACTATTACTGAGCAGTTATTTATTATTAATTTGTGATTTTTCATTTCTGTAAATTTATAGCTATACAAAATATAAAAGCGTTGGCCTTCAGATTTTATGATATTAACTATACCAGCCAGCCAACGTTTCGAATTTTAGCTTTTAATCTTTTTAATTTACAATTAAGGACAATCTTCGTCTAATATTATAGAATGATTAGCTGTTTTGCCTTTTAATTGGTTGCCAACTAAGGTTATGGCTTCTCTTCAGTTCTTTGAATCAAGTAAAAGTTTGGTCGTGGGATACCGTGCTTAATACCCAATAAATAGAAAGAAACCTGAAACATTGTATCTTGTTTGAAAAGGTTATGTCTTTGAGAACTATTTAGTAACTAAACAGTATAAACATCCCGATTTCACAACATTTGGATTCACTTTCAGTGTGAAACTAGGTGTTAACGATTCACAGTAGTTACAAAAAATGATACTCACACTAGATATGAGAGTGATTAAATAGGATTTCAAGTTTCAAATTAATCCTAAATAATTTCAAGAGTTGAGATCATGAGCCAATTGAAGCTAGACCACCATGGAAAACCTGGAAGCACTGGATGACCGTTTTGCCCTATTTGGGACTCCTCAACAGTGCGCGTCCACGATCCTGCCCCCCCGCGAGATTCGAACCCAAGACCTATCAGTCTCGCTCACGAGCGAGACCACTGAGCTGGCCGGCATCCAACGGTGTTAATGTTTGACTTAAATCAATCCATGAAATTGCTCCACCGTACATCATTGTCTTCAGTGAGCTGGTATCACACAACAGACCTAGTTGGATTCCACTGGTAACGGCTTCTCACTAGAACTCCAGGAATGTCTCTTGAAGTCAGTCACTAGTCAGCGGATGGTTATTGTCAGAAGAAGTCCAGTGCTTTTAGGTTTTCCATGGTGATCTAACTTCAATTAACTCATGATTTCAACTATTGAAATTACTAAAATCTCCACAAAACCCTTCTGATATTAACCCTAAATAATTAATGTTTTAATGTGTTAGGTATTTGTAAAAATGAGGAGTGTTATTTTTTGTGATATTAAGGTTTAGAATAATAAAACGAATGTTTAATAAGTAGGATATTGATGCTCATAGTGAGTTGATGTTCATCACTTTTAACTACAATCATTATAAGATAAAGAAAAAGTAGAAGAATATGGAATTGATGAATTACTCAATCTGTGATGAATACCATAACACATAGAAAGTAACTCGTAATAATATTAAACTAGTTTATCAACTTAATTATCTTTTTTTAGATGTACATTAGTTTATTTTTGTTCATTTCCCCAATAATATCTTTTTTCAAAAATGTATTCAAATGAAAAATTAATCAATAATTGACTCAATCTTTAATCAACCAATCAGAGTTATGTACTAAATAACCAATCACATTTATGAGCATAATCACTGATATAAAATACAGAAAAGTGTATGAGAACATTTTGAGTAGACCTTGTATACAAGTTAGTTTAAGATGTTTCATTGTCTGTGGAATTAATTCTATAAATAAAATCAACTCACACAACTGATATTCTCATATTAATCCATATCAAACAACAAAACATTTTTGAGTATTTAATAAAGTAATTGGAACTATAGTTTACTGTGAATGTTAATGACTGTAAATTTATAAAAGAAAAAATGACAGTTTACTAATTATTCAAAACTAATTCTACATATGAACAATTTCAATATTTCTCATTACATCATAAGTTGTCTAACCATTAATTACACTTTTATCATTACCATATATATATATAGATCAAGCCACAACACAGAATAATGATACTTTGATCTTGAAAACATAATGACAAGAATATTTTTGATCGTATCCATTCTAATAAGTAGCATTATCTTTATTCAAATAACGAAAATTACATGGGATTATTTGAAATTCTAACATTCATTCAAGGAATAGTATTGGGATATACTTTATAAACATTATTCTTTGAAGTTCGTTGATCGATCATTGATAAACATAGATGATACATTTTTTCCAGAAAAACAAACAAACAACGTTTCTCAAGAGAGAATAATTTGATTTGTTTGTTTAAATCAATGTTTGGATAAAAGTTTATTCATTGGAGAACTATGTACGAAAATGTAAACAGTTTGGCAAACTATATAACTTATTATGTGATTAAACTCAATGATTATATTGAAATGAATAAATGTAATGTATTTTAGAACATATAGTCATTGAAGGATGAATTAGAATTGATTGAAAGTTATCTTTCATAAGTCGTTTAATTGAATATTGAAAAATACTGGTTCAGTCAGTTAGTAACAACATAGAACTTCGTACGTATGTACATCAATCCAAGTTGCCATATTGACTCAATAGATCTCAAAAAAAGAAGACAGACTGGTTGAAAATTTGGGCTACCTGTTCCTGATATATGAATATTTCAACAAGTTATCTGTTTTCTTGTTTGTTTTAACACATCTTTATACCTATTAGTCGCATAAACTAATCAGGTGCGTTTGTGAAAATTTTACGACATTTGACTGAAAAAGTTATAAAAAAAGCCTGATCACAGACATCGTATTTGCTGGCAATATGCATCGTGATGAATATACGTTGATCAAATATCTATCTCTGAATTGTTAACGTCTAACTGGAGACCATTCAATGTTTATAACAAAGTTGAAACTTGTTGAAATAGTTTGTGTTGAAAATCCTATATTGTACCAAATATATAATATTAAATAAAGCCACTAATAATAATAATTTTTCTTTTCCGATAAGAAGAAAATTACAGGTTAATAATCGAATCACTAACAATACAGTGTTTAAGTCATATGTGGTAACCAAAATTCACTAATCAACAAATCTATAATATGATTAACAAGGTATTTAAAGTGTTAGGGTAAAATTTTACTACTTAGCATTCAAAGACTAACAATATAAACCTGGAAACACGTTTTATTCTACTTGGGGTTTACCAGTTAAATGCATCTACACTCGTGTTGATACTCACAATAAGACTTAAAACCAGTATTTTTCATTTTGAATATTAATGTGTTATACAGTGAGTAACTGATTCTAAAATATTATAACCCTAATGATATAGATCCAAGTGCATATGTGAATAAATTGATCGCGTACCAACACAAAAAATGTAATTTTAAAAAATTGTTGCCATAACTTTGATCTGAACAACATTACATAAGTAAGAACAGTCTTTGTTTGACTGTACTTAATCTATTTCATTGTACTATTTAAACTTATGCAAAATCAATTTTGTTTATTTATTTATTCTTTGAAGAAATAACATCAAACAATTCGAAGAACTTCGGGAATTCAATTGTTTATTGGTTGAAATATAATAAATAT